AAATCCCACCAGGAACAGCCCCACCTCGCACTCCCTGCACATGCGGGCCGAGCGCTTGATCTGGGGTCAGGTACCCAAAAACGGGGTCAGGCACCACGAAAATGGGGTCAGGCACCCCGAAAATGGGGTCAGGCTCCTCAAAAACAGAGTCAGGCACCCCAAAAACCACAAGGAACACCCCAAATCCCACCAGGAACAGCCCCACCTTGCACTCCCCGCACATGTGGGCCGAGCGCTTGATCTGGGGTCAGGTACCCAAAAACGGGGTCAGGCACTCCGAAAATGGGGTCAGGCACCTCAAAAATGGAGTCAGGCACCCCAAAAACCACAAGGAACACCCCAAATCCCACCAGGAACAGCCCCACAGGAACAGCCCCACCTTGCACTCCCCGCACATGCGGGCCGAGCACTTGATCTGGGATCAGGTACCCAAAAACGGAGTCAGGCACCCCGAAAATGGGGTCAGGCACCCCGAAAACGGGGTCAGGCACCTCAAAAACGGGGTCAGGCACCTCAAAAATTGGGTTAGACACACCAAAATCCACCAGGAACAGCCCAAATTCCACCAGGGACATCCTAAATCCCACCAAGGACACCCCCACTTTGCACTCCCCAAATGCAGGCTGAGTGCTTGATCTGGGGTCAAGCACCTCAAAAATGGGGTCAGGCACCCCAAAAATCCACCTGGGACACCCCAAAACCCAAGCCAGGAGGGATCTCAGGCACCTGGAGAGGGTCAGGGGTCCCCCAAATCTCCCCCAAAGCACCCCCCAGCTTCCTGCTGTCCCCCAAATCCTCACCTCAAGGGACGCAGGCACCTCCCAGCCTCCCCCCAGAATTGGGGTGTCTCCCTTTGTGGGGTCCCCACCTCCTGAGCCCCTCAGAGCCCACCTTGGCAGCCCGGCCCTGCTCCAGCTCCTGCCCCTTGGCCCCCTCGTGCTCCTTCTCCCGCCACTTCTTGTGCCGGTACCGGATCTCCAGGGACGGATCCTTCTCTGGGAGGGGGGTCACAGAGGGGTCAGGGGATCCACCACCGGGGACACCCCAAAAAACGGATCAGGCACCCTAAAAAACGGGGTCAGGCACCCCAAATCCCACCAGCAACACCTCAAACCCCACCAGGACACCCCGCCTTGCATAAGGGCTGAGCACTTGATCTGGGGTTGGGCACCCCAAAAAACACCCAGACCCCAAGTGTCCCTGGAACCCCCCCAGATCAGCCCCCCCACCCCTCTCACTGCAGCCCAACACTCCCCAATGGCCCCCCAGAGCCCCCCCAAAGCCCCCCGAGCCCCCAGCCCCTCTCACTGCAGCACTGCCACTCCCCAGTGGCCCCCTAAAGACCCCCCAGAGCCCCCCAAAAGCTCCCCCAGAGCCCCCCCAAAGCCCCCCGAGCCCCCAGCCCCTCTCACTGCAGCATTGCCACTCCCCAGTGGCCCCCTAAAGACCCCCCAGAGCCCCCCAAAAGCTCCCCCAGAGCCCCCCAAAAGCTCCCTCAGAGCCCTCCCAAAGCCCCCCGAGCCCCCAGCCCCTCTCACTGCAGCACTGCCATTCCCCAGTGACCCCCTAAAGACCCCCCAGAGCCCCCCAAAAGCCCCCCCAGAGCCCCCCCAAAGCCCCCCGAGCCCCCAGCCCCTCTCCCTGCAGCACTGCCACTCCCCAGTGGCCCCCTAAAGACCCCCCAGAGCCCCCCAAAAGCTCCCCAGAGCCCTCCCAAAGCCTCCCGAGCCCCCAGCCCCTCTCACTTCGGCACTGCCACTCCCCAGTGGCCCCCTAAAGACCCCCCAGAGCCCCCCAAAAGCTCCCCCAGAGCCCTCCCAAAGCCCCCCGAGCCCCCAGCCCCTCTCACTGCAGCACTGCCACTCCCCAGTGGCCCCCTAAAGACCCCCCAGAGCCCCCCAAAAGCTCCCCCAGAGCCCCCCAAAAGCTCCCCCAGAGCCCCTCAAAGCCCCCATGAGCCCCCAGCCCCTCTCACTGCAGCACTGCCACTCCCCAGTGGCCCCGTAAAGACCCCACAGAGCCCCCCAAAAGCTCCCCCAGAGCCCCCCCAAAGCCCCCCGAGCCCCCAGCCCCTCTCACTGCAGCACTGCCACTCCCCAGTGGCCCCCTAAAGACCCCCCAGAGCCCCCCAAAAGCTCCCCCAGAGCCCCCCCAAAGCCCCCCGAGCCCCCAGCCCCTCTCACCGCGGCACTGCCACTCCCCAGTGGCCCCCTAAAGACCCCCCAGAGCCCCCCAAGAGCTCCCCCAGAGGCCTCCCAAAGCCCCCCGAGCCCCCAGCCCCTCTCACCGCGGCACTGCCACTTCCCAGTGGCCCCCTAAAGACCCCCCAGAGCCCCCCAAAAGCTCCCTCAGAGCCCCCCCAAAGCCCCCCGAGCCCCCAGCCCCTCTCCCTGCAGCACTGCCACTCCCCAGTGACCCCCTAAAGACCCCCCAGAGCCCCCCAAAAGCTCCCCCAGAGCCCTCCCAAAGCTTCCCGAGCCCCCAGCCCCTCTCACTGCAGCACTGCCACTCCCCAGTGGCCCCCTAAAGACCCCCCAGAGCCCCCCAAAAGCTCCCCCAGAGCCCCCTCAAAGCCCCCCGAGCCCCCAGCCCCTCTCCCTGCAGCACTGCCACTCCCCAGTGGCCCCCTAAAGACCCCCCAGAGCCCCCCAAAAGCTCCCCCAGAGCCCCCCCAAAGCCCCCCGAGCCCCCAGCCCCTCTCACTGCAGCACTGCCACTCCCCAGTGGCCCCCTAAAGACCCCCCAGAGCCCCCCAAAAGCTCCCCCAGAGCCCCCCCAGAGCCCCCCGAGCCCCCAGCCCCTCTCACCGCGGCACTGCCACTCCCCAGTGGCCCCCTAAAGACCCCCCCAGAGCCCCCCAAAAGCCCCCCGAGCCCCCAGCCCCTCTCATTGCAGCACTGCCACTCCCCAGTGGCCCCCTAAAGACCCCCCAGAGCCCCCCAAAAGCTCCCCCAGAGCCCTCCCAAAGCCCCCCGAGCCCCCAGCCCCTCTCACTGCAGCACTGCCACTCCCCAGTGGCCCCCTAAAGACCCCCCAGAGCCCCCCAAAAGCTCCCCCAGAGCCCTCCCAAAGCCCCCCGAGCCCCCAGCCCCTCTCACCGCGGCACTGCCACTCCCCAGTGGCCCCCTAAAGACCCCCAGAGCCCCCCAAAAGCTCCCCCAGAGCCCCCCCAAAGCCCCCCGAGCCCCCAGCCCCTCTCACCGCGGCACTGCCCGCAGTACCACTCGCGGATGGCCTTGGCCATGCGCTCGGTGATGTTGATGCAGTCCCCATGGAACCACTCGTTGCAGTTGTCGCAGCCGCTGTGGGACAGGGGAGACACCGAGACCCTCAGCCAGGGACACCCAAAGCCCCCCAGGGGCACCCTGCACCCCTCCCCCATTTCAACGGACCCCCCCCCAACACCCCCAGGGGCCAAGACAAGCCGGGACCCCCCAACTCCCACTCTGAGAAGCACCGGGACCCTCAGCTGGCCCCTCAGATCTGCTGCGACCCCCAGGCCCCCCTCACACCATGAAGCAGTTCAGGACCCCCGTTCCCCCTCACACCACGGCAGTTCAGGACCCCCATTTCCCCTCACACCATGAAGCACTTGGGGACCCCCATTCCCCCTCACACCACGGCAGTTCAGGACCCCCATTTCCCCTCACACCATGAAGCAGTTCAGGACCCCCATTCCCCCTCACACCACGGCAGTTCAGGACCCCCATTTCCCCTCACATCCTGAAGCACTTGGGGACCCCCATTCCCCCTCACACCACGGCAGTTCAGGACCCCCATTCCCCCTCACACCATGGCAGTTCAGGACCCCCGTTCCCCCTCACACCACGGCAGTTCAGGACCCCCATTTCCCCTCACACCATGGCAGTTCAGGACCCCCATTTTCCCTCACACCACGGCAGTTCAGGACCCCCATTTCCCCTCACATCATGAAGCAGTTGATGTCCGGCTTGCGGCACACGCAATAAACCGGCGCGTTCTCCTCCCCTCCCGGGGCCGCCTCCGCGTCCGAGAATTCGCTGTCCTGAGGGGGTACCGGCGGGGGTGTCAGGGCCCGGGGGTCCCCCGGACACCGCAGACCCCCCGAGTTCCCCCCACACCCCCGGTCCCCCCCCACCATCGCTGCCGCCGCCTCCGAGGGACGCTCCGGGCTAGGCCCAGCAGCGGTCGGAAGCGGAGGCGGGTCCAACTTCCGCTTCCGGTACGGGAGAACGCCGTACAGCATGGCGGCAGCCAGGAGAGCAATGGCGGCACTGGGGGCCGCCATGTTTGGGGGCAGTGTCACCCGCGGTCGCAAAGAGACACCTGAGAGAGCAATGGTGGCAGGGCGTTTATTGGGGACGTGGGGGACACTGGGGATGTGAGGGGACACTGGGGACATTGGGGGGGAAATGGGGACATGGGGGACATGGGGCCCATGGGGACCTGAGGGGACATTGGGGGGAAAATGGGGACATGGGGGACATGGGGCCCATGGGGGGACATTGGGGGGAAAATGGGGACATGGGGGACATGGGGCCCATGGGGACCTGGGGGGACATTGGGGGGAAAATGGCGACATGGAGGACTTGAGGGGACCTTGGGGGAAAATGGGGACATGGGGGACATGGGGGACATGGGGGAAATGGGGACCTGGGGGGACATTGGGGGAAAACTGGGGACATGGGGCACATGGGGACCTGGGGGGACATTGGGGGGAAAATGGGGACATGGGGGACATGGGGCCCATGGGGACCTGAGGGGACATTGGGGGAAAATGAGGACATGGGGGACATGGGGGACCTCGGGAGACATGGGGAAAATGGGGATATGTGGGGACATGGGGACATTGGGGATATGAGGGGACATGGAGGGACATGAAGGGACTTGAGGGGACATGAGGACATTGGGAGAGAACTGGGACATGGGGAACATCGGGGACCTGAGGGAATGTGGGGGGGCACATGGGGAAAATGGGGACAAGAGGGGACATTGGGGACGTGGGGGGACATGGGGGAGAAACTGGGGACATGGGGGACATCGGGGACATGAGGGGACATCGTGGGGCACATAGGGACATGGGGGAAAATGGGGACGTGAGGGACAATTGGGGAATATGGGGAGGATGGGGGGAACTTGAGGGGACTGGGGGACATGGGGGAGCTTTGGGGACCTGAGGGGGACAATGGGGGACATGAGAACACGGCAGGCACGGGTGGGGTGCAGGTGGCACGCAGAGGTGTCGCACAGGTGGCACAGGTGTCCCATGGGGTGTGTCCATCTTGTCCCCATCACTCTGGCTGAGCCTCGAGGGGGCGCTGCAGCTGCTGCAGCTCCTCGGCCAACCTGGGGGCGGGGCCAGAGGTGGGCGGGGCAGGTGACAGGGGCACACCTGTCCCTCACCTGTCCCAGGGGTCACACACCTGTCCCACACCTGTCCCAGGGGTCACACACCTGTCCCAGGGGTCACACACCTGTCCCACACACCTGTCCCACACCTGTCCCCAGGGGTCACACACCTGTCCCAGGGTCACACACCTGTCCTGGGGTCACACACCTGTCCCTCACATCTGTCCCACACCTGTCCCGGGGTCACACACCTGTCCCAGGGGTCACACACCTGTCCCAGGGGTCACACACCTGTCCTGGGGTCACACACCTGTCCCAGGGGTCACACACCTGTCCCAGGGGTCACATACCTGTCCCTCACATCTGTCACACCTGTCCCAGGGGTCACACACCTGTCCCAGGGGTCACACACCTGTCCCTCACACCTGTCCCACACCTGTCCTGGGGTCACACACCTGTCCCAGGGGTCACACACCTGTCCCACACCTGTCCTGGGGTCACACACCTGTCCCAGGGGTCACATACCTGTCCCTCACATCTGTCCCACACCTGTCCCAGGGGTCACACACCTGTCCCAGGGGTCACACACCTGTCCCAGGTGTCACACACCTGTCCCGGCGCCGCCGGCTCAGCCGCTGCCGGCCCAGCTCCACCTCCAGCTGTCGCAGCGCCCCCTCCTGGTCCTGCTGCACCAATCGCCTGCGAGGATGGGGGTTAGGGGGCGGGGCCAGGCCTGAGTGGGCAGGGTCACCTTGGAGGGGGCGGGGCCAGAGCTGGGCACTCACCTGAGCACAGGTGCCTGTGGGCCCAGCTGCTCCTCGGTGTCCATCACGCGGCGCTCTGGGCAAGGGGGGGACACCGGTCAGCCCAAGGGGACACTCCTGGGTTTGGGGGGGCTCAGGTGTCCAGGGGTCACTCAGGGGCTTGTGGGAGAGGGGCTCAGGTGGCCCAGGAGCTCAGGAGGTCACTCAGGTGTTGGCAGAGGTCACTGAGGTGTCTGAGGGTGTTCCTCAGGTGCCTGAGGGGGGTCCTGAGGGGTCACTCAGGTGTCAGGGGCTCACCCCAGTTCAGCCACTTCTCCTCCATCTTCTCCAGCTGCACCAGTTCAGCCTCCAGGTGGGCCGGAGCCTGTGGGGGGACAGGGGTGGGAGGGGGACACGGAGCAGGGGAGGGGGTGTGTGATCCCAGGTGTGCGAGGGACCCCCAGGTGTGTGAGGGACCCCCAGGTGTGCGAGGGACCCCCAGGTGTGCGAGGGACCCCCAGGTGTGCGAGGGACCCCAGCCCAGGGCTCACGTGTGTGACACGCAGGTGCTTGAGCTCCTCCATGATGGACTCGAGCTGCTGGCAGTGCTGCCACCTGAGGATGAGGGGATAGAGGGGTGACACGGTGGTCACACATGACCTGTGTGGGTCACCTGGTGCCACCCCCAGCCCCACCTGTGTCCCCGGCGCAGGTCTTTCAGCTGCTTCCAGTGCTGCTTTGTCCCTTCCATGTCCTGCTGCTGCTCCAGGCAGAGCCCACAGCGCCTGTGGGGGGTCAGGGGGCACCAGGTGTGTTTTGGGGGGGCACACAGGTGAGGTTGAGGAGGGTCACAGGTGTTCCCACTCACCTCTGACCTTTGGCCTCCACCTCCTTCCCTTGCAGCTGTGCTCTCTGCAGTGACTCTGGGGGGGCAGGGGGGTCACAGGGGTTGAGGTCAGGGGGGTCAGGGGGTCACAGGGGCCAAGGGGGTCCCAACCCCTCTGGGCGAGTCAGGAGGGGCCACAAGGGTCAGGGAATCATGGGGGTCAAGGGGCATCAGGGGAGGTTTTGAGGGGGCCCGAAAGACCCCAGTGCCCCCTGGGCTCACCCTGCACCTGCTGCCAGGACCTCTCCAGTGCCTCCTTGCGCTGCTCCACTGTGGGGAGGGGGCAATGAGCTCAGAGCCCTCTGTCCCCACAAACCCCTCAGGATCCCTACGCACCACCCAAGGACCCTACAGACCCCTCTCTGTGTGTCCCCAGAGCCCTCAGTGTCCCCCTGCAGAACCCCTCAGGGATCCCCCAAACCTCTCAGTGTCCCCCTCCAGACCCTTCAGGGATCCCCCAAACCTCTCAGTGTCCCACTCCAGACCCCCTCTCAATGTCCCCCTCCAGACCCTTCAGGGATCCCCCAAACCTCTCAGTGTCCCCCTCCAGACCCTTCAGGGATCCCCCAAGCCTCTCTGTGTCCCCCTCCAGACCCCCTCTCTGTGTCCCCCTCCAGACCCCCTCTCAGTGTCCCCCTCCAGACCCCTCAGTGTCCCCTCAGGTAACTCACGCTGCTCCAGGTGCTGCCGCAACCCCTCACTGCAGTCTTGTGCCTTCACCAGCTCCTGTGCCGTGGCCTCACGGACTGTGGGACATGGTGGGACGGACAGAAGGACGCGTGGGACACAGGGGGATGTGTCAGGCACATGAGGGAGCATAGGAGGACATGTGGGACATGGGAATATGGGGGAGCACAGGGGTTCTCACACTCACCTTTCTGCAGGCTGTGCATCTGCTTCAGCAGCACCTCCAGCTGTGGGATCCCCCCAGGAGGACCTGAGGGGGGAACTGGGCAGGACACAGGGACATTGCCCCTCTTGAGGACACCCGAGACTGCCTTGTCCCTGGGGCGGGGGGACACTGGGACACATGGCGGTCTTGGGGGGTCTTGGCTGTAGAGCCCCTTACTGCGTGGGTCCAGGTCCATCACTGCAGCCTGCAGGGACATGGTGGGGACAGAGGGGTACATGGAGGGGACACAGGGGATGATGGTTTGTCCCCTGGTTTGCACTGGTTTGTCCCCTCCTGTCGCCTTTGTCGTCTTCTTAGTTCCCCTTTTCCTACCCTCAGTCCCACATTTTCTGTCACGTTTCACCATTTCCTCCCTCCTTATCTCTTTTCTCCAGGGTTTCTCCCATTCCTGTCACCTCTTTCCTCCAGTTCCTGCCGCCTCTGTCCCTTCCATTTCTGTCCCTCATTTCCCTCTCCAGTCCTTTTCCCTTTTGCTCCATTTTCTGTCACCCACACCCTCTTTCCAGTCCGCTTTTAACACTCTTCTGTCTTGTGTCCTTACATTTTGTCCCTTTTCATCCCCCATTTCCCCTCACCTTCTTTCTGCAGCTTTCTCAGCTGCTCCCCTTCCTATTTTCTCAGGTTTTCCCACCCTTTTCCCCCACACATTCTCCCGTCTTTTTTCTCCCCTCACGTTTTCCCGCCCTTTTCCCCACTCACGTTTTCCCGCCTTTTTTCTCCCCTCACGTTTTCCCGCCTTTTTTCCTCCCTCACGTTTTCCCGCCTTTTTTCTCCCCTCACGTTTTCCCGCCCTTTTCCCCCCTCACGTTTTCCCGCCTTTTTTCTCCCCTCACGTTTTCCCGCCCTTTTCTCCCCTCACGTTTTCCCACCTTTTTTCTCCCCTCACGTTTTTCCGCCTTTTTTCCTCCCTCACATTTTCCACCCTTTGCCCCCTCACGTTTTCCCGCCTTTTTTCTCCCCTCACGTTTTTCTGCCCTTTTCCCCCTCACGTTTTCCCGCCTTTTTTCTCCCCTCACGTTTTCCCGCCTTTTTTCTCCCCTCACGTTTTCCCGCCTTTTTCCCCTCACATTTTTCTGCCCTTTTCCCCCTCACGTTTTCCTGCCTTTTCCCCCTCACATTTTCCCACCCTTTTCCTACTCACATTTTCCTGCTTTTTTCCCCTAATTTTCCCACCCTTCCCCCTCATGTTTCCCTGCCTTTCCCCCTCATTTTCAAGCCATTACCCTTCTATTTTCCCACTCTTTCGCCTCACATTTCCCCACCTTTTCCCCTCATGTTTTCCCACCCTTTTCCTCTCAGATTTTTCCACCTTTCCCCCTCACATCTTCCCACCATTTTCCATCCACATTTTGCCTTAATTTTTGTTCCCTTTTCCAGCTGTCTCTCTCCCTTCCTGCTGTCATTTTCTGTCTCCTTTTCACCCCCAATCTGTCACTTCTTCCATCATATTCTCTTCCCTCTTTTCTGCTCCCTTTCCTGTCTATTTTTGCCCTCCATTTCTTGTCACTTCTTCCAGCCCTTCCTGTCACATTTTCCCACCGTTTCCTCACATGTTTTCCCACTGATTTCTGTCCTCTCATCCCTCTCTTTGCTGCCCCATTTTCCCTCTTTACTGTCTGCTCTTACCCACTTTTTCTTTCAGGTTTTCTCCCCATTTTCTCTCCCTCATTCCTCTCATTTTTGCTTCCCTTTTCTCCCTACTCTGTTGCTGTTCTCATCTCCTCTCCTTGTTTCCTCCATCCCCTCACCCCTCAGGATGTCCCTTGTCCCCACATCACTCAAGATGTGCCCCCATCCCCTCACCCCTCAGGATGTCCCCTCATCCCTCAAGATGTCCCCCATCCCTTCACCCCTCAGGATGTCCCTTGTCCCCACATAACTCAAGATGTCCCCCATCCCCTCACCCCTCAGGATGTCCCTTGTCCCCTCACCCCCCAGTCCCCCCGGACTCAGGACTCTCCCCGGGGTCTCAGTGTTTATTGTCAGCCCTCGGACTCGGGCCCCTCGGGGCGCGCGGGCGCGGCGCAGAACGGTGCCGGGTAGCGGATGAACAGCCAGTCCTCCTCCTTCTTGAGCCAGCGCAGCAGCTTGGTCAGCACGGCGATGGCGCCCGCCTTCGTCACCAGCGGGCTGAAGCAGCTGTACAGCTCGAACTTGCTGGTCACCTGTGGGAATCCATGCCTGTTAACTGTGGGATTTACTGACAGCACTGATAGCGAGCATCCCATTAATGGTAGGATTTACTGACGGCACTGACAGTGAGAACCCCATTAATTGTGGGATTTACCGACCGCACTGACACTGAGCACCCTCTTAATTGTGGGGTCTACTGACAGCACCACCAACCAGCAAACCCCACTAACTCTGGACTCTTCTCACGACAGCACAACCACGTGCTGTTGGCTCTGGGCCCTGCTGACGGCTCCTTCCCCAGGCTCACCCAGGCCAGCAGCGTTTCCTTCTCAGCCACGTGGTAGAGCAGGCGCAGGGGCCGGTGCGGGCTGTGCACACGGCTGTGCAGGTAGTGGTACAGGTCGAAGAGCCGGTGCTGCTCCTCCTCGCTGGTGTAGGGCTCCTCCAGCTCCGGGCTGCAACCAAGGAAGTCCCCCAGGTGAGGGAAGGGGGACACGGAGGTCAGGTGAAGGTCAGGGACACCCCCATCCCCTCAATTCTGGCGTGTCCCCCCCATCCATCCCCGCCCACCTGGTGAACTGCGGCAGCTGCTGCATCTCCTCCGGCCCCTCCAAGGGTTTGTAGAGGAAGTGCCGGAGCTCGGGGGCGCCGGGGCGCGAGGGGCCGTACCCCGCTCCCCCTCGCACGGCCGCCGCCAGCTCGGCCAGCCAGCCCTGCGCCCGCAGCGTGTCCTCCAGCTGCCGCCGGCACGCGGCCGCCGCGTAGAACCCCTCTCGCTCGGTGGACAGCAGGATCAGCGTCACTCCCTCGTCCTCCTCCTCGCCCAGCCGCGCCGCGTACGCGTAGAAATACCCGTCGGGGTTGAAACGGGGCAAGCACACGGGGGTCCACACCTCGCCCGCCCCCGCGCCCGCCCCACCGCCCAGCAGGTTGAGCAGCAGGTGGAGGTCGCTGGCGCAGAGCCGCCCGCCCTCGGCCAGCGCCCGCTGCCGCGCCGCCGTCACCAGGCGGCCCCGAGCCGCCAGCACGGCCAGGGCGGGCGCCGGGCGGGCGGCGGCGGCGGTGCGGCGGAGCGCCCCGGACACGGCGCGGCGGAGCCCCCCGGGCAGGGGCAGGCAGCGAGCGGCCCCCAGCAGCAGCCGCCCGTCGGCCGCGGCCCCGCAGAGCAGCCGGTCCAGCACGGCCTCGGCGCCCGCCAGCAGCCGGCGCAGGTCGAAGCCGCGGCGTCGAGCGAAGACGCGGGCGATGCCGCCACGAGTCAGCAGCGACAGGATCTGCTCGTGCACGAAGGCCAGCTCCCGCCGCAGCTGCGCCGCCGACTGCCGCGTGCGGGACACCGACACCAGCAGCAGCGGGCCGCGCTGCTCGAACACCAACGTGCGGTCCTCTGCGGGGGAGAGAGGGGACACGCGGTCACACGGGGCGGGGGGACACGGAGGGAGGAGGGGAAAGTTGGTTTGGGGGCAGCCAGATGTACCTGGACGGGTGTTGTTTTGGGGTGTGTTGTTTTTGGAGAGTGGCTGTACCAAGGAAGGTTTTAAGGGGGTGGTAGGACCCAGGAAGGGGTTTAGGGGGGAAGAGAGTTTAGGGGGGCTGGTTGCACCTGGGCAGGCTGATTTGGTAGATTCAGCTGTACCTGGGAGAGGTGGTTTTGGGGTGGGATGTTGTGTTTGGAGGGGGCTGTTTGGAGCAGGGATGGTTGTACCTGTGGGGGCTGTTTCAGGGCTACCTGGGGGCGGGGCTGTGCAGATTTGGGGTTACCCACAGGTGTGTCTGCGTAAATTTGGGGGTTCCGTGTCCACCCCCTGCTGGCCCCGTACCGGAGCAGATGGCACGGATGGCGTTGCCGCCGCTCTGGATGAAGGACACGAGGGCCATCATGACACCCATGGTGGCCGCCAGCGCCTCCTCGTTGCCGTGCCGGGAGTAGATCGGCTTCCCGGCCTCGCTGAGCACGAACACGTGTTTGCGCCGCGCTCGCCAGCCCGCGGCCGCCACGTCCTCGTCCGCGCCGCGCCGCCCGCCCAGGGCCGACGTGGCCGCCGCTGCCGTCACCGCTGCCGTCACCTCCTCCTCTTCCTCACTGGGGTGATACACTGGGGATGTCACTGCTGTCGTCACCTCCTCCTCACTGGGGTGATTCCCTGGGGATGTCACCGCTGCTGTCACCTCCTCTTCATCCCCTACAGGTGAATGTGCTGGGGACGTTGCTGCCATGGTCATCTCCTCCTCACTGGGTTGAACACCCGGGGATGTCACTGCTGCTGTCATCGCTGTGGTCGCCTCCTCCTCATCCCCAAGTGGGGGACACCCCAGGGATGTCCCTGCTGTGGTCACCTCCTCCTCCTCACCAGGATGACAGTCCTGGGACGCTGTGGCTGCTTCTGCTGTCACTGCTGTCACCACATCCTCATCCTTGCCACATGGCCCACCTTGGGATGTCATGGCCACTGCCACCTCCTCCTCCTCCTCCTCATTGAGGTGGCACCCCAGGGACACTGTGGCTGTCACCACCGCTGCCACCTCCTTGTCCTCCTCCTCGTTCCCAGCAGGGTGACACACGGATGATGTCATGGCTGCCACTGCTGTCACATCTTCCTCCTCATCCTCGCCACTGTGGTGACAGCTCGGGGACGCCACTGTCCCCCCTGGCTCCATCTCTGCCTGACCTGTGACCAGCGGGGGGCGCCGGGGCGGTGCCTGTGCAGCGGAACAGCCCCGCCCTGCCCCACCCTGCCCCACCCTGCCCCTCCAAGGGCGGGGCCGGGGGTCCTGGGCACCTGTGGGGAGGTGGGGTGGGGTCAGCAGGGGCGTGGCTCCACAAGCCACACCCACCCCTAATCCACACCTGTGGCCGCACCTCCAGTCCCACTCGGGACCCCCCAGCCCTGGTGGTCTTATAGGCCACGCCCACTGCCATAAGCCCCACCCCCACCGAGCCGCACCCCGGAACACCCCACACGTGCTTCCATGGCCACGCCCCTACAGTAAAACCACGCCCCCACAGCGGTAGCTCCGCCCCCTTTCTAAGTCCCACCCTCCGGCGGGATCGCCCCCGGGCCGCCCCCTTCCCACCTGGCTCCGCCCCCTTGAGGCCCCGCCCCCTCCGTGCCCGCCCCCGCCCCGCGCGCGCTCACCGGCCGCGCTCCCGCTCCCGCCGCCACCGCCGCTTCCGGGGCCCCCGCGCCGCGCGCCCCGTGACGTCACCGCGCCGCCGCCTCCACCAATCGCCGCGCGGCCGCCGCGCGCGGACCAATCAGCGGGCGCGGGGCGGGGCCTAAGGAGCGACGCCTCTTTTGGCGGGTTGTCCCGCTCCACCCTTCTCTTTCATGACGTCACACGGGGCGGGGCGGGGCGCAGCGCGTGACGAGGGGCGGGGCCAGCGCGGTCCCTGAGGGGGTCTGGCCCCGCCCCCTCAGCGCCTTTGGGACCCCATTTAAGGTCGGGGGGCTCCCCCAAAGCCCCGTGTGACCCCCCCGAACGGCCATCGGTGCTTTCAGCGCCTCCCGGGCGGGCTCCGGGAGCCACAGGAGCACCACGGCGGCTTCAGGGGACCCCAGGAGCTCTGCAGGCACCCCAAGAGCTTTAGGGGACCCTTTAGGGTCCGTAAGGACACCCAAAATCTCTACAGAGGCTCTGTAGGGTTCATAGAGCCCCCCCAGACTCGCTGAAGGGGTTATAGGTACCCTAAGAAGCCGCAGAGAACCCCAGAACTGCCCCACAGGAGCCCCCCCAAAGCCCACAGGGAATTCCCGGGACAGCTTTAGGCTCCAGCCCAGGGGATGGGCTCAGGCCGGGGGCGGGATCTGCGGCACTAAAAACCCCCCAGGTCCCCTCCGTGCCCCACACACCTGAGACCCCCCGGACCCCCATGGCACCTCCACCGCCCCCCGGCCACCTCAGCCTGGCCCGCGGGGTCCAGGTGAGAGGGGACCCCGATCCTGTTGTGGTGGGGGGCAGAGGGACAGCCCCGATCTCGGGGGGCCACGGGCATCCGGGGCGGGGTGGGGGACCGAGGGCGGCTCAGCACTTCCTGCCCCCGGAAAGGGGAAGTGAAAGGAGGGGGGGGACCCCAAGAGCTCGGGGGGGCCCCAGAGGTTTGGGGGGACGCGGGAGCTCCGGCCACCCCAGTTTGGGGGTCGCAGGTGACCCTCTGCCTCCCCCAGCCCCCCCTGTACCAGGACGCCGTTGCCCGGCGGGCTCTGCGGCCCACGCTGCTCAGGTGAGTGCTCCCAGCGGGGACAGGTGACCCGGTCAGGTGTCCCCTCCCTCGTCACCGGCCCTCCGCTGCCCCCCCAGGAGCGTCTCGGTGCCGGCCGAGCCCCCCGCGCCCCCCGCCATGGATGTCACCTACGCCGTGGTCAACAAGCCCCGCCGGGGGGGCGGGGCCGCGGGGAGAGGCCCCTCCCCCTTGGGAAGAGACCACGCCCCCTTCGGCCGAGACTCCGCCCCCTCGGGCACGTGCTCGCTGCCGGGCAGCCCCGTGCGCCGCCCCTCCCCCAGCCCGGCAGGTGAGTGGGGGGGGTGGGGGGTCCCCCAGGTTTTGGGGGGCTCAGGGGTGCCCAGCACCCATAATTCTGCCCCTGGTTCCCCCCTCAGGCTCCCCCAGACCCACGGATGGCGCCTATGAGGTTGTGACCCCCCCCACGGACACCGGCAGCGGTCCCTGCCTGGGTGAGCATGGGGGGGTCCCTCCTGTCCTGGGGGGGTCTCGGTGTCTGGAAAGGGTTTGGAGGTCCTGGGGGGCATCAATGTGCAGCCCCCCCCCCTCACTGACCCCCTGCTCCTCCCCCCAGGGTTTAACTTCCGCATCGGGAAGCCCAAGGGCCCGCGGGACCCCCCGGCAGAGTGGTCCCGGGTGTGAGGGGGGGTCCGCATCCCTGGGCCCCCCCAACAGAGGAGGGGCTGCAGCAGAACCCGGCTGATCCTTACCGAGCCCAATTTAGCCAAAAACCCATTTATTATAACAAATAAAAGCTGATTGTGAGAGACCCGGCTGTGCCTGGGGGAGTGCAGAGGGGTCTCAGCTGCCAAGGTGGTCTCAGGTGTGTAGGTGGGCCCTACCTGGGGAGCTCTGCAGGTGCTGGGGGGCTCAGGTGGCGCTGAGCAGGCGGCGCTTGGGGGCCGTGGCCGTGTAGGGGTGCCAGCGCCACTCCACGTCGGCCGCGTCCCCCTGCTCCAGGGTGCCCAGGCGGATCAGGTAGGCTGAGGGGGGGACATGGGGGGCTTGTTGGGACATTTGGGGACACGGGGGGAGCCTTTTAGGGCTGTTGGGGACAGCAGGGAACACTCACGCCTCAGCTGGAAGCGGGGTCCCACCTCCTCCAGCTCCACCGTCCGTCCCCGGCGCCGGTACACGTGGTTGCTGTGGGGAGGGGGGGGTCAGAGGGGCTTGGAGGGGGGGTCTGTCCTTGTCACAGTGTCCCCAAGTGTCACCCACCGCACTAAAATGACATCATCCTCATTGGCGAAGGTCACCACGCGGCGGCTGTCGGGACGGGGAACAGGGAACAGGTGCTTCAGGATGGTCCCGACCTAACGGGGGACAGGGATGGGGACAGGGTCACCCCACCCCCGGGACCTCCCGTGCTCCTCCTCAGTGTCCCCATTTCCTCCCCCATGTACCCCAAACTCCCCTGTGTGTCCCCTCACATCCCCCCAGGTGTGTGTCCCCATTTCCTCCCCCATGCACCCCAAACTCCCCTCTGTATCCCCTCACATCCCCCAAGGTGTGTGTCCCCCTTTCCCCCCCATGTACCCCAAACTCCCCTCTGTATCCCCTCACATCCCCCCAGGTGTGTCCCCCCATGTCCCCTCCTGACCCCCACTGTCCCCCCATATATCTCCACACCTCACAACCCCCAGGTGTGTCCCCCCATGTCCCCTCCTGACCCCCACTGTCCCCCCATATATCTCCACACCTCACAACCCCCAGGTGTGTCCCCCCATGTCCCCTCCTGACCCCCACTGTCCCCCCATATATCTCCACACCTCACATCCCCCCAGGTGTGTGTCCTCATTTCCTCCCCCATGTACCCCAAACTCCCCTCTGTGTCCCCTCACAACCCCCCAGGTGTGTGTCCCCCTTTCCCCTCCTGACCCCCACTGTCCCCCCATATATCTCCATGCCTCACATCCCCCCAGGTGTGTGTCCCCCTTTCCTCCCCCATGTACCCCAAACTCCCCTCTGTATCCCCTCCCATCCCCCCAGGTGTGTGTCCCCCTTTCCCCCCACTGTCCCCCCCAAATATCTCCACGCCTCACATCCCCCCAGGTGTGTGTCCCCATTTCCTCCCCCATGTACCCCAAACTCCCCTGTGTATCCCCTAACATCCCCCCAGGTGTGTGTCCCCCTTTCCCCTCCTGACCCCCACTGTCCCCCCATATATCTCCACGCCTCACATCCCCCCAGGTGTGTCCCCATTTCCTCCCCCATGTACCCCAAACTCCCCTCTGTGTCCCCTCACATCCCCCCAGGTGTGTGTCCCCATTTTCCCCCCACTGTCCCCCCATATATCTCCACACCTCACATCCCCCCAGGTGTGTGTCCCCCCATGTCCCCTCCTGACCCCCACTGTCCCCCCATATATTTCCATGCCTCCCATCCCCCCAGGTGTGTCCCCCCATGTCCCCTCCTGACCCCCACTGTCCCCCCATATATCTCCACACCTCACAACCCCCCAGGTGTGTCCCCCCATGTCCCCTCCACGTCCCCCACGCCCCCCCAGGCCGTACCCTTTTCCCCAGGGTGGAATCCAGGCGCAGCAGCAGCAGGTGGGGGGCGGCCAGCGGGGCCCCCCCGAGCCCCCCGACCTCCTGGCGCAGCACGGCCCCGCTCAGCGTGAAGTGGGCGGTGGGGCCGTGGGGCAGGTGGGACACGGTCAGCCCGTCTGGGGGGTGGGTTAGGTCAGGACACACCCCAAACAGGCCCCACCCACCCCCCAATATCTCAAGTTTTGGATTTTCTTTTCTATTTTTCATATTTTGTGCTGCTTTAATGTGTGGGTCTGGGCTGCATATTGTGGGATGGTGAGCTCTCTGCGCAGAGCAGGGAGAGAAAAAAATTCCTTCCCACCAAGGATAAATAATCCAAACCTCAGCACCAAAACATAAACAGTGTGGGCTGGAGAGAGTAAAAGAAGAATGGGACTTTATGAGCTAAAGCTAAAATTGGACAATAAACTCCACTATACAAATGGATCAAAAGTGATAAAACTGTAAGACCCTGTGAATTGTTGTCCATTTTATGACCATTTTGGTTCATTTGGGTGCAGCCCTGGCTGGGTGCTACCTAAGGTGGATCCATTGAGGAGATCCTTTTAATAAATCCCTGCTTTATTAATTAATTTTGTCTGGCTCTGCTCTAGCTCAGCCTTTCCAAGGCATCACCCTCAGCCTTCCCCTCCAAGCAGAGACCCCAGAGGTGACCCCAGCCCCTCCAGCAGCCCCCCAGCACTGACCGGGCCGCCCGCGGGTCTCGTGCAGCACCAGCAGGTCGGTGACCCCCGCGGCCCGGCACGCCGCCACCAGAGCGCCCAGCTCGGCACGGCCCCGGTTCATGCGGCGAGCCCCCGGCAGCAGCAGGCACAGCTCCTGGGGACAGGGACACGGGGACAATGAGCCACGCCCTGTGGGTGTCACCCCTTCACCCAGCGTCCCCCCGCTTGTGCCATTACAGCGTCCCTGTGTCACCCAGCTCACCCCCCACCATTCCCCCAAATCACCCCCCACCATGTCCCCCAAATCACTGCCCCCATGTCCCCCAAATCATCACCCCCATGTCCCCCAAATCATCGCCCCCATGTCCCCCAAATCACCGTCCCCATGTCCCCCAAATCACTGCTCCCATGTCCCCCAAATCACCGTCCCCATGTCCCCCGAATCACCGCCACCATGTCCCCTGAATCACCGCCCCCATGTCCCCCAAATCACCGCCCCCATGTCCCCCAAATCACCGCCCCCATTCCCCCAAATCACCGCCCCCATGTCCCCCAAATCACCGCCCCCATGTCCCCCAAATCACCGCCCCCATGTCCCCAAATCACCGCCCCCATGTCCCCCAGATCACAGCCCCCATGTCCCCCAAATCACCGCCCACCATGTCCCCCAAATCACCGCCCCCATGTCCCCCAAATCACCGCCCCCATGTCCCCCAAATCACCGCCCCCATGCCCCCAAATCACCGCCCCCATGTCCCCCAAATCACCGCCCCCATGTCCCCCAAATCATCGCCCCCATGTCCCCCAAATCACCGTCCCCATGTCCCCCAAATCACTGCTCCCATGTCCCCCAAATCATCGCCCCCATGTCCCCCAAATCACCGCCCCCATGTCCCCAAATCTGTCCCCATGTCCCCCAAATCACCGCCCCCATGTCCCCCAAATCACCCCCCACCATGTCCCCCAAATCACCGCCCCCATGTCCCCAAGTCTGTCCCCCTGTCCCCCAAATCACCGCCCCCATGTCCCCCAAATCATCACCCCCATGTCCCCCAAATCACCGCCCCCATGTCCCCCAAATCACAGCCCCCATGTCCCCAAGTCAGCACAGGGTGACAATTACACACCCATCCCCTGGCCCACCCCAGACCACACCCAAACCCGGCCACGCCCACCCAATGCCACACCCAAACCATGCCCCACCCCCCCAGACCACACCCAAACCCGGCCACGCCCACCCAGACCACACCCAAACCATACCCTACCCCCCAGACCACACCCAAACCATGCCCCACCCACCCCAGACCACACCCAAACCATGCCCCACCCACCCCAGACCACACCCAAATATGCCCCACCCACCCAGACCACACCCAAACCATGCCCCACCCACTCCAGAGCCCCACCCACCCCGACCACACCCAAACCCAGCCCCACCCACTCCAGAGCCCCACCCACCCAGACCACACCCAAACCATGCCCCACCCACCCAGACCACACCCAAACCATGCCCCACCCATTCCAGAGCCCCACCCACCCTGACCACACCCAAACCGGCCACGCCCACCTTGGCAAAGAGCCGCAGGCGGGCGCTGGGGTCGCGTGAGGTGGTCACCATCACCTTGGGGGGCTCCAGCCCCGCCCACCTGTACTCGTCATCCTGGCTGTCACCTGTCCCTGGGGGTGGGGCTTCATCAGGCCACACCCCCTGCAGCCACACCCCCCCCGGGGTCATTGGGGTCAGGTCAGAGTCGGGGTTCGGGGGGATTTTGGGGGGACATGGGGTTAATTCCCATTTTGGGAACATGAGGCCCAGATTTGGGGTGCAGCCCAGACTGGGGGTGTTGGTGCAACCCCACACTCATTTGGGGTGAATTTAATTTTATTTGAGGAATTAAAAAACCCACAGAGAATTAGGGGAAACTCCTAAAAATGTAACCAGTCTCTTTTTTTAGCTCATTTTTTGGGGCTGCCTCAGGATTCCCTTCTCCTCATTTTGGGGTCCAAATAACCATTCAAAGGTCTCGCCTGTCCCCCACCCCTGGGTTTGGAAATCCCAATCACCTCCAACTTGTGGGGGTCTCTTCTCTCCACCCTCCCACCGTGATTTGGGGGTCCCTCTCCCCCAGTTTGGGGGTCCCTCTCCCCCAGTTTGGGGGTCCCTCTCCCCCAGTTTGGGGGTCCCTCTCACCCCCCGGTGCCTGGAAGTCGAACTCGAGCTCCTTCTGCAGCGCCAGCGCCTCACGCCGCAGCTCCGTGGGCAGCAGCCGATTCTCTGGGGAGGGGGAGAGAAACAGGGGGGGCTCAGACAGGACCCCCAACCCTCCCCATTCCAATACCCCAGCCCCAAATAACCCCCCGGGCCCGCAGCACCCCCATGTCCCCTCTTAGCTCCTCTTTAACACCCCCAAACCCCTTAAACTCCCCTTAACTCCTCCAAATTTCCTCTGCCGCCCCCAACCCCCTTTTCATACACCCGGGATCTGTTCTTACCTCACCCCAAGCCCCCTATAACCCCCCCAAATTCCCCCCCAAATTCCCCCCGGTCCCTT